CTGTAGCTCAAGTGGTAGAGCGCTCTCCTTGAGCTGAAGAGCTGAGGGACAGCGCCCAGGCCCAGAGTTCAAGCCCCACGGCCGACCAAAAAAAAAAAAAAAAAGAAAACTAGTTCATTCACACTGGTTTATTTTCCTCTTAGTTTCCTATATTTTTCTTTTGTAAAAACTACCTTATTGTATCTTCCACAACAACAACAAAAAAGGCAAATTTCCATCATAAGAAAGAAACAATTATGTAGTCTTAGGACCAAAATAGCTTCAGAGTTTAGGAAAAAACTACAGGCAAAAGTAAACAAAGGAGGTGGCTTGGAAGGTGGCTCAGTGGTAGAGTGCTTGCCTTGCATGCATGAGGCCCTGGGTCTGATTCCCCAGCACCACATAAGCAAAAAGAAAAAAAAAGCTGAAGTGGTGCTGTGGCTCAAACAGTAGAGCACTAGCCTTGAGCTGAAGAGCTGAGGGGCAGTGCCCAGGCCCAGAGTTCAGGCCCCACGACCAAACCCAAAAGAAAAAAGAAAAAAAAAAAAAAAGTAAACAAAGGAGCCAGACACCAGTGGCTCACGCCTGTAATCCTAGCTACTCAGGAGGCTGAGATCTGAGGATCATGGTTCAAAGCTAGCCCAGGCAAGGAAGTCCATGAGACTCGTATTTCCAATAAACTACTCAGAAAAAGCCAAAAGTGGCACTGTGGCTCAAGTGGTTAGCCTTGAGCAAAAGAAGCTCAGGGATAGTGCCCAGGACCAGACTTCAGACCCAAGCCTGGGGGAGGGGGTGGAGGGAGGAGGGAGGGAAGAATTTCTTTCACAAAGCAGCATGACCATAGCCTGGGAGAGATCCTGGGTTCAATCCTTAGCCTATATGGGTATGTCTAAGGTAGAAACATAAATGACTAGTTCTGAACCAGGCTTGGCATAGAAAGAGACACAAATGAGATATTCATGCAACACAATTTTGCAATAAGTAAAGGATATGCTATAGACAAATTCCATACAATTTACAAATTTAACAAAGAAACTAAGTTTACTGGGTAAGTTGGAAATGTGGTGTCAACTATTATTAATCAAAGGCCAAAACACAAGACATGATGAATGTTGGTCAGATTACACCTGTACAGAGTTATAAAACTAAAGATACCTGATTATGCTCAATTCTTCTTTGCTTGAGTGTTACTGGTGTCTTCGCTCTGCCCTTTAGTGGTTCTCTCTTCTCAAGTTTGAGTTCTATTTTGGAGTCTGGAAATTAAAACATTAGAGAAATCATTACTCTCTGAAACTCTCAATTATGTTTTCCTGGTATTAATTTGGAACCCTGCTTTTAGGCACTTTAATACATAGAAGCTTGTATACTGATAATACCAAAATTATTTCTTAGCTGAGCATTGGTGGCTCATGCCTGTAATCCTAGCTACTTAGGAGGCTGAAATCTGAGGATCCTGGCTCAAAGCCAGCCCAGGCAAGAAAATCTGATACTCTTATCTCCAATTAACCACCAGGAAACCGGAAGTGGTGCTGTAGCTCAAGTGGTAGAGTGCTAGCTAGCCTTGAGCTGAAGAGCTAAGGGATGACACTCAGGCCCAGAGTTCAAGCCCCATGACTGACACATACACACACAAAAAAAACATTCTTAAAACTGTCTTACAGAAAGCCTTTTGCTATTTCATTCCACTTTCATGTGATACTAATTTTTCCTATTCCCTCCTTTTATTTAACCTAACAGCTTTAAACATAAAAGTGAATTCAGACTGCTCAAAAAGGCTTTGCATTAAATCCAATTTCTAGTTACCACTCTGGAGGAGGGAGGAGTCCATGTAATACATCTATCTCATTAAAATCTGGGTTAGGTGCTGGTTGCTCACACCTGTAATCCTAGCTGTGCAGGAGGCTGAAATATGAGTACTGAGGTTCAAAGCCAGATTGGGAAGATAAAAATTCCAGACTTTTAATTCTCCAATAAAATAACAAAAAGCTGGAACTGGAGGTATGGCTCAAGCATTAGCAAAATAAAGTACTAGCAAAGTAAAGCTAAGCTAGAATATAAGGCCGTAAGTTCAAAACATTGGCACACAAATTAAAATTTGGTATATGGGCTGGGTGACAATGGCTCAAGTCTGTAATCCTAGCTACTTAGGAAGCTGAGGTATAAGGATCATGGTCCCAGTACAAAGCCAGCCCAGGTAGGAAAGTCCTGAGACCCTTTTATCTCTAATTTAACTATCAAAAAGCTGGAGGGCTGAAAGGTGGCATAGTGGTAGAGTGCTTGCTTAGCATGCCTGAAGCCCTGGGTTTGATTCCTCAGTACCACATAAACAGAAGAAGCTGGAGAAGTGGCACTGACTCAAGTGGTAGAGTGCTAGCCTTAAGCAAAAACAAACTCAGGGATAGTGCCTAGGCTCTGAGTTCAAGCCCCAGGATTGGCAAAAAAAGAAAAAAAAGTATAGGGAAAGAGAGTTTAAGAGTCAAAAAGGCCTGCGTGGTATCAAGCTTTCAATAACAGTGAATGGTAACTGCCAATAAGGTTAACATATAGTGATTTTTAACCAGAGCTGTAGCTCATGCTTCATGTAAGGCTTTGAGTTCAATCCCAAACACCAAAACATGAAAAAAGAGAAATAAGACCTTTTGCTGTAGATACGTAAGACTTGAATACAACAGAGGTAAAAAGAATTTTGTTCTCAAATACAACCAAAGGTTGTTTCTCTTCCCTCTTTTTCCATGATAAAATGTATCTGTAAATAAAAGTCATTAACCCAACAATACAAAGATATATTTTAACATCTCCACTCTTCCTTCACCATTTAAAGATGTACAAAGATTAAAATAGTAAATTCCTGCTAATTGGAGTAGTAAACTTCTAATCCCAGCACCGGGAGGCTGAAGCAGGAGGATCCTGAGTTCAAGACCAGCCTGGAATACATACATAGTGGATTCTGTGGTAAATAAATAAAGACAGATAAATAATAAGTACATTTCTCCATTTTTTATGGCCACTTATCATAGTGTAAGGCTAGGTGGGCTCTGTGGTACAGTACTAGTCTAACAAGTGAGAGGCTCTAAGAAGTTCAAACTCCAGTACAACATTTAAAAAAAGAAAAAAGAAAAAAGGGTCAAATCTATATAAACAAAGCTTCATTTTACATGAACTTAATGATGTGCTAAAAGGTAATTATGGTATGTTTTGATCAACTTTCCAGTCTGACAATCTACTTGCAAGTTTCCCCCCCAAAAGAAACTGAATTTTACCAGATTAATTCAAACAGTTCAATTTTCATTTAAGACTAACTTATCAACTTCATTCCCATCTCCTATCTATTAGCCAATCAATACATCTGTTTTGTACAATTATCGTTATAAAACCTACTTTATGCTTTAACTCAGAATCTACAAATTACAAAACAAAAATTAAAAAATCTATTAGTCAATCAGAACTCATTAGACAAATAAAAGAATCTGGTTACAAATTCCTCTCATAAATTTATATTCCAACAGCCAACTAAAACATGGAACAAACTACACAACAATAATTACAGCACTTTCCATAACTTCACTGGAGATGGGTGCTGGTGGCTCATGCCTTTAGTCCTAGCTACTCAGGAGGCTGAGATCTGAGGATCTTAACTTAAAACTGGCCTAGGCAGTAAAGTCTGAGACTCTAATTAATCACAAAAGCTCAAGGACAGCCTTCAGGCCCTGAGTTCAAGCCTCAGGGACTCCCCCACCCCCCAATAAACCCCAACACTGTAAGTTAAGTGAGTTTTAATGGTGAAATGGAAAAAGGATGCTCATATACAAATATTAAACCTGTTTTAGCTCCATAATAAAACAGACATACAACATGTTTCTGGAGACCACACAGAACTGTTCAAATTTAACCAACTTTATTGAATTTGCAGAAGCATTCTACAGGAATACATTTTTTTAAGTCACACAGAACTTAGGCACATGTACACATGTACATTTTGGAAAACACACAACAAAATTACTCCAGAAAACTGCAAAGATGGAATGTGTAGTCTAAGAACAAGGTAATGGCTAGATGAGTATCCATGGCACCATATTTGTTATGTTACTTTTCACATGCCTCTAGATAAACACCCTTACCTTACAATCAGAGAAATGAAAACAGAATATACACATTGCTTTATACAGACACTGGAAGAAGGTATGATTTCTCAGGACTTTTTTTTAAAAAAAAGAATGTCCTTTTTACCATACAGATTGGTAAGCCATAATAATCCACAAAATACAACATACATGAAAGAAATTATATATATTAAAAGAAATCCCATCTTTCTAGTGTTTCATTTATCTGACAAAATAGTGATGATGAATGAGCATGCACAATGGCAGAAGCAGAGTTCCTCAAAGTGTGGTCCAGACTAGTATGACCCATGCATGAACTGATAGCTACCCGTGCATGAAGAGACACCTATATGAGAAGGTACATTGAATACTGCTTTCTTATCAGTAAAAGCTTACTGCAAAAATAAATCCTATCTTTGGCTTAAAACACCTCAACATTCTTTTATTTCTTTAATTTCATTTTATTAAAAGAATTTCTTTTGGTGCTGGGAACTGAACCCAGAGCCTCCTACATGTTAAGCATATGCTCTTACTACTGAACTACACCCATAGCTACTTAAACTCAAACAGTCTCATGCTTATCTGTATAAGAGTTATGGACTCATACTTTTGAGCTGAACTGATCTAGAATATTACAAACAATGCTGCAGACAAAAGTAAACAACAAGCAAAAAAAAAAAAAGAACAAAAGTGTGAAAATTGCTAGAAAGTGAAAGATATTCAGAAATATAAAAAAAAACATTGTTTGGAATGTGCAAGCGTTTAATTCTATCCTAGGTATCAAGGGTTATTACTGTTAAAAACAGTGGAGACGTGTATTTGTTATGGGAGTTTTAAAAAGTTAGGAGTATAGTAACAGTGAATGATTTGAGACAAATACATGATCTCTAAAGCTTAAAAGTGTTTTTCTGAGCTCTCTGCAAATCTTAAAAATAAAAAGCAATTCTACGAAATTATTTTTATATATTACTAGCTCAATCCCAAATCCAGAAAGAAAATTTTGGCATAAAAGAGCCTAGAAAAGCTCTAAGTTCTCTAAATCAAAGGTAAGATAGATGTGTTTGTTTTTGACTATTAGTGTTTATTGCCACGCTTTTTAATTACTTTGTGTACTTCTCCTCCAAATAATGTTCCACCTTTAAAGGGGGCAACGGTCAGCTTATTCTTAGATGTTGAATTAATTTTGCAATCCTTCAACCAAAGGTGACGGCGACCAGCAGTGGAACATCCCATGGTACAGGCAGCCATCTTCACTTCATCAAATGAAGCTTCACAAAGAAACGAAGCTGCATCGTATGTTTTGCTTAGAATGTTGAGTGCCTGGTGTGCACAACTAGGATCTGAACTAAGAATTTGTGCAGCCTGACTGATGTCTGCCTGTATAGCCTTAGCTACAAAAGCAGTGTGGGTTGCAATCCGTAATGCTGATGCTGCAGCTTCATAAGTTTTACAGAGTGTTAGGTCCAAGTGTTTATTACAAGACTCAGTGGAGGCTGCCTGATTACCTGCTGGTGGGGTGGCAGCAGAAACAAACTCTAGGATTTCATCATCTACTTTTGGAACTGATAGTATCTGTGTTGCCTCTCTGGAAGAAACTGGATACTTGCATGCCAATGAAGGCAGCTGCTTGTCAATTTGTTGCCACTCCTCTTCAATTACTTTTAAAATAGACTCATGGAAGGGAAAGGATGGTTCTGAGGACAGTTCTATTTTATCACTCTGTGATTGCTTAGACATATCTATGCCTAAGGTAGTAAGCGAATGAGACACAACGGTTTTAGCCAAAGACGACATCTGTTCTGATTCAGGTACGTTCTGAGATGCCATAAAGGAACCTGAATCCCCTTTCCCTACTGACTTCTCACTGAGTCTAGACAACTTTTGTGGAGGAGACATAGTTTCAGTTTCTTGAAGATCAGACTGGCCAATTTTCTTGCATATGCTTTCTACATCCAAGGTGGGTACAGAGTTAGAGGTTCCTGGCAAACTACCTACTCCACTCTGGACTAGCAGAGAATTGACATAATCTCTGATTGCCTGAGCAAGTGGTGGAGATATTACCTGTGACCTCTTTGACTCTTGTAGTACTTCTCTTTCACTGGAGAGAACTGAATGACCTGAATTATCAGACCTCTCAGGATACAACGGCTGAATTCTACCTTTCCCTCCATGGCAAATATTTTCTACTATGTCTTTAGAGTAAGTAGTAGTGGTTTCTCGAATCACTGAAGGAGAAGCTGTGGCTGAAACCAACATGGCAGCAAGGTCAGGCTGAGAAGATGATGGAGAACTTTTTTCTAAGCATCTACCATGGCTAGATTTGGAAGAAATAACTGATCTCTCTCCAGAGGCTAATTTCTGCACCTGTCTCTTGTCAGGCAAGGTTGTGGTAACAAGAGACTCTCTAGGTGTATCTCCCTTTGAAGTATGTACTTTCTTAGCTGCCTGTGGTTCAGTCCTGCCCAAAGGAGGACGGGTGGAGATTTCAGGAAAAGAGATACCCTGAAAAAATCCACCAGAGGGAGTAGTTGGAAGTTCAGAAAAAGGAACAAAACCCCTAGTGGACTTCACTTTCTTGTGTTCTTTCTTCTTTCCTGTAGAGGCAAAAGAGGCAGGAAGTATTACTTGTGTTTGAGCTGACCTTATTCTGTGCCTCCTTGCTAAAAAAATAGTGCTGTTGAAGGAAGAGACTACATTTTACCTTCTAAGTACCAATTCAGTAGACTGTGCCTTGAAAGGCATTGCTTACAGAGATAAAAGCAACTTGGACAAAAATAAATAGTCACTAGAATAATAAGTCATGAATTAAAAGTTTATAAGTAAAATAAACTTAAGGATTTTTTTTTTTTTGTCAGTTTGGGGCCTCAACTCTGGGCTTGGGCGCTATCCCTGCACTCTTCAGCTCAAGGTGAGCGCTCTACCGCTTGAGCCACAGCAGCACTTCCGGTTTTCTAGTGGTTTTACTGGTGATAAGAGTCTCACGGACTTTTCTGCCCAAGCTGGCTTTGAACCGTGATCCTCCGATCTCAGCCTCCTGAGTAGCTAGGATTACAGGTGTGAGCCACCAGCACCCGGCTAAACTTACGGTTTTTAAAATGATATTTATCTTGTGTACTACTCTCAAAAATATCTAAAAACTCGTTGAAATTTTCTTACGTTGTAAAATATGGTCAAAATACTGTTTTAAAGTTTCTGTGAAATCAGATTTACCAAAAACATCCAACAATTTAATTGTCTATCAACAGAGCTGAAAATATCATATTACTACCATAAATTAGAGATTAGATATGTAACAGTAAGAACACATTAAAAATATGAAAGTTAAATACTAATTGTGACTTATACCACGTACAGAATTTTTAAAAGCACAAAACAATAACATGTAATAATATATGAGGAAGTACCAAAAATTAAATTGGAAAGAAAAACATCAAATTAATGACAGTAGTGGTAATGGCAAAGGACAAAAGAAGGAAACTGTTTTTACGAAAAATGAATTTGAAAAGGATTAACTGACAATTTTAGATAACAGACAATTACACATTTGTATTTTTGTTGTTTCTGAGAATTCTGAACAAAAAAACTATTTAAATTACTCGAGAGAATTAATCTAATGATATGAACAAAATTTTCATTATATCTTACTAATATTGTTGTAAACTTTACTTTGTGGCCATTGTATTTTATGAGTCTGAAAAAAATTTAGACATATTTGAGGAAGGAGATTAAATTTTACCTTCTTCGTTGTCACTGTATCTGTCAGAGTCATTACTTCCATTCTGTCTTGTATTTTCTGCTGAAGAAGAGATTGTTGGAAGAGGAGTAGAAGATCTTGATTCTGGTCCTTGTTCCCTCAGTTTTAACAGCTTTTTCTCATAGAGCTTTCTGGTTGTTCCTGTTTTAAGGCAAAATTTATTTGACCATTTACATAGCTCTAGCTTAGGAAACACTACATGCTTAGTTTCATTCTATCTTTACTAAATTTAAGTGCTTTAAATATATAATGTACTCTTTTCTGGGACTGGGAAGGTGGCTCAGTGGTAGAGTGCATGCCTTGCAAGCATGAGGCCCTGGGTTCGATTCCTCAGCACCACATAAACAGAAAAAGCCGGAAGTGGTGCTGTGGCTC